AAAGAGAAAAAGGAGAGAAGGAAAGAAGGGAAAGAAAGAGAAGGAAAGAAGGAAAGAAAGAAAGAGAGAGAAGGAAAGAAGAAGGAAAAGAAGAAGGAAAAGAAAGAAAGGAAGGAAAAGAAAAGAGAAAGAAAAGGAAAGGAGAGAAGGAAAGGAGGGAAAGAAAGAGGACAAAGAGATGGGGAGAGGGAGGAAGGTTCTCCCACCCCTATCAAGCCCCCACCACCCCCACCCCCATGGATCCCTCACGCAGATCCCTCACTTACCATGATCAAGGCCTTCCCCAGGTTGCAGCGCTCCGGCACGGACCCTGGGAGGCCGGCAACGAGCCTCCTCAGGTCTCCCCCGGGCCGGAGCACTGTAATGCGGGCCCCAGGAGGCCAGCAATGGGCCTCCTCAGGCCTCCTCCATTCTACAGCGCTACAGTGCGGGCCCCAGGAGGCTGGCAACGGGCCTCCTCAGGTCTCCCCGGGGCCGCAGCACTCTGGCGCGGGCCCCGGAAAGCTGGCAACGGGCCTTCTCAGGCCTCCCCGGGGCCATAGCGCTCCAGTGCGGGGCCCAGGAAGGCAGCGAAGGGCCTCTTCAGGCCTCCCTGGGGCCACAGCGCTCCGGCGCAGGCCCTGGAAGGCCAGCGACGGGCCGCAGCACGGGAAGCTGGGGGAGGGGCTTGCTGCCACCACCAGTTGTGCCAGCTCCTAGGCTCCCAGGCCAGCGCTCTGCCCCCAAAATACCCCTAATCCTTATGTCTTGTCTGATCTTTATAGTTAGATTCTCCATCGCTAAGATAAATAATAGAGGTGACAGAGGACAGCCCTGGCATGTTTCTTTTTCAATCGGAATTGTTTCTGTTAGTTTTACAATTATTAGAAGCTTTGCATGTTGGTTCGAGTTTATACCTTGCATCGAATTCCAGAATTCTGGGCCACAGTCCATATTCTGAACTACATTCAATAGAAAAGGCCATGTTATATTATCAAATGCTTTCTCTGCATCCAAAAATAAAAACACTGCTTTCTTTCTTTCTTTTCTTTATTCACAAATTCAATTGCATCTATTATGAATCGTATATTGGCTTTCGTAATACCTGTTTGGTCAGTATGTATTAAATTTTATATACATTTTCTTAATCTTTCTGCCTTTATTGTTAGGGAAAAATATAGTCTACATTCAATAAATAAATAGGTCTATATGACTGTGGTAGTGTTGCATCACTGTCTTCTTTGTATATTAACGTTATATACATCTCTTGCCACATTGGAGGTAATGTTGTCATTAGAACTTCTTCAAAGTGTTTATAATACATTGCTGTCAGCCCATCTGGGCCTCGTGCTTTGTTCTTTTTCATATTTTTATTGTGTGGGAAATTTCTTGAATTGTTACTGTTTCATTTGAAGATTTTCTATGTTCTGACAAAAATTATAAATATTCTCTTATTCCATTTTCTGAAATAGACTTCTTTTTGTAAAGTCTTGAAAGAACATTGATGAATTGTTCTTGTATTTCTTTTTCTGCAAATGTGATTTAATCTCCTTTTTTATACATGTTATTGCTGTTTTTTCTTTCTTCTTCAAGAGACAGTATGCCAGATAATTGCCAGGTTTATTCATGTGTTCAAAATGCCTTTGTTAAAAAGAAAATTCTGTATCTCTTCAATTTCTAGGATATCTGTTTTTTTAATCGTCTGATTTCTACTAATGTATCTTTATTGAATTTTTTTATGTTCTTGTTCCAATCTCTGGATTTTTTTTCTATTAATATTTGGGTTGTTCTGTTTTCCCCCTTTCTTCTTGGCCTCAGCTGCTAATAAGATTGCTCTGATAAAAGCTTTGCTTTCTTCCCAACTTGTAGCTGAGGGCATTCCTTCTGTATTATTTATTTTTTAAAACTCTTCCAGGTATTTTTATATTTATTTATTAAATTATCTTGTGAAAGAAGAGTATCATTTAGTCTCCATCTTCCTCTTGATTTTTTGTTCCCTTGCCAAACTATTTCTATAGTGTTGTGATCTGTGAATATTTTCTCAGAATATTGAATCTCTGCTTTGTCTAAATTCATTGTGAGGCTTTTTGATATCCAATATGTCTATCAGAAAAAAATGTGAAGTCTCTGTCTTTTGGAGTTTTAATCCTCCATGCATCTTCTAATCTCAACATTGCCAAATATTGGAATATATTTTTCAGTAATTTTCCAAGTTTAATATTTCTGGGTATGTCCTTCTTAGGAACTAAAACTCCATTCATGTGTCCAAAGATCTTGAAATTCTAGCATTGTTTGAAAAAAAATCTTGAAAAATTTCACTTTGGCATTATTCAGCATGTATATTGTTGCTAGTA